GGGGCCAGGGAGATTATTGCTGGGGGGCAGAGGAGGGGGTGTTAAGGCATCACTACAGTGGAAGAGAGGAGGATCTGAAGGTGGTGAAGAGGAGGCATGAGGGGCTGGAGGAGAGCCCAGGTCAGAGGGCACCAGGCTGGATCGGAGGGCAGCTCCCCAGTTGTATGAGGGGGCATTGAGGCTGATAGCAGGTGGAGGAGGTGGGGCTGGAGAGGGGGCATTGCCCCTAGGGAGGAAACAAGGGCTGCTGCTACCCCCAGAGGGAACTGGGTCAGGAAGCCTTGGTGGTGGGAAGAGCCCCCCAGGGCCTGCTAGAGGGGGGAAGGCCTGGGGAACTGAAGATGGTTCTGGGGGAAGGGAGCCAGGACCCCCATTAAGTGGAGTTGTAGAAGGAACTCGACAAGGAGCACGGGCAGAGGGGGGCCCTGGGGACACAGTGTGGAATATTTGGGGGCTTGCTCCCTCTCCTGCAACAAATGAAAAACGAGGGGTCAGCCTGGAGCTGCCCTTCCCAGAACGTTTTTTGTCTTCTCCAGTCCCATCTCCCACAGGTTCCCAACCTCCCTGTCCCCTCCTCTCACCAAGCAGCTCCCCACCCAACTCCACCCTTCTCCTTCCTCCCTTCCAATACAGCTCCTCCCACCATCAGTCTTCCCGGCCCTTAGGTTTTCCTCAGTCTTCTATAAAGTGGCAGAAGACTCACCAGGAGAAGAGTGTGAGCAGGTGGTCTCCATGCTGCGGTATAGAGTTGCCATGGCAACAGCTTTCCGCCGGTGGTTGCACAGCTTGGTCATGTCCTCCTCTGATGCTGGCCCCACCCCAGCCCCACCTGGAGTCACCGGGGCCAAAGGGTCAAAGTTGAAAACCTGTAAGGGAGAACCCTCTAAGGGACCCTGAAGGAGTAGAATCCCTGAGGACTACCATGGTCAGCGGTTTGCATTAAGTCTTTTGGCTTATCGCTGTACACTCTAGCACCCCTCAACCACTCTGACCTTGGGGACATTAAGTGGACACTCCAGACCACATTTGCAGGTCCCATCGCTGAGGAGGTAGCTCCGGGTTTGCTCCAAGGAAGACAGCTCTGTGCCACTTGGGCTGGGAAAGGACAGGGTCAGAGGACATGGGGTTAACTGACAGTGAATCAGGAGATACTCCTAAAAGACAGTTCATAAGTTAAAGATCTTCCTAAGGAGGGCAAAGGGTAAGGGATACAGGAAGAGACAGAAAGGGAGAATGGATTCAAAGGCCCAGAGATACAGAGAGCAAAAAGGCTGAGAAAGGAAGGGGAATGGAGGAGAGCAATAGAGTACCAGAGAGCTGGGCTCTGAGAGGAGGGGTGGAAGAAAGCAAGCCTAGGCAACTGAGAGCATCTGGGGTGACAGAACTTGGGGAACTCTGAAGATTCATACCTGATATAGAGCACAGCACCCTCTCGCACACAGCGCTGCCAGCCGATGGGGACAGATGTGGCCACAGGGCCCCCAGCTCTGTCTGCTCCACTGCTCTCATTGCCCCCATTCATTGTGTGTAATCAGCTCCCGCGTGCCTGTTAACACAGACATCCATGTGGGTACTAGGAGGATTAAACTGGGCTGGATACCTGAGGGAGTACTCCGGGAAGACAAAGGTTGTGGGATGACCCGAGAAAACTCAGGAAAAACCCCAGAGTGTCAATGTGAACCCTCAGAGAACTGGAAGAGAGAACAGAAGGAATCCTCTGCCACACCACCACAGCTACCTGAACATCTCTGCAAACATTGTGGGTTCCAGTCTAAAGCCGGGGCCACCAGCTTAGCCCACACCTGCAACACAAGGAGAAAGATGGGACTGTCAGGAATCTGCTCAACTCAGAAGAGCACGACAGTCCAGGACACTCTCAAGGGAAAGATCCTTAATAATGTGAGGTAAGTGAGCTCCAGGATCTGCTGGCTGAGTCCACAAGCATCCTTTCCAAGCCCAGTCCCTAGGGATCAGAGGGTCAGAGCCTCAACTCCCAGGGACCAAGGAATCAGCCCAATTTCTAGAGACATGAAGGGCAAGGCCCTTTTGTCCCATTAGAGGCAGAAGACTTCAACCAGGAGTCTGGGCAAATTCCTGTAATGCTAGGCCACTAAGAAGTTTCCCAGAGTGTCTGGCCCCTGCTGCTCTCTACCTAGGAAGATCATATAAAAAGTGCAGATTGCCCCACAGGTCACCAGGCAATTGCCCAACTGCCTGCTGGGGTGGTACCAGCGGAACTCCCCCCATGCCTGCTCCATTGACTGTCCACTCAGACAATCATTGATCCAGTTCATTTGGATCTTAAGAGAAGTCAGAATCACAGCTCAGTCTTCTTCCAGGGTCCTGAGAAGCTCCCGATTTTCCCTCAAGCCTAAGACAAGGGGATTCAGAACCTCTTATCCCACTGGCTTCAAATTAGCTCTAAGAAAGATTCTCCTCTGATATGTGGGGACGCCCCTCAAACCTGCAAGTATCATCCCCAACCTCACCATCGCTCCCACCCCACATTGGCGGCTTCCAAACTTTCCCTCTCATAACAAGGCGCCCTGTCACCCAGACTGCTTCCCTCAGCTTGGGGAGGAGGGGAAGGCGCACGAAGTAGGAAGGAACTTGGGGAGAGGGCGGGCGGAGGGTGGGCGAAGCACTGAGGAGAGAGGTGAGGAAGGCAGAAGTCAGGCAGTGAGAGGGAGAAACAGCGGGGGCAGGTGAGGGCGGGGGAGTGGGGATG